ATGTATAACAAAACATAGAATAATATCTACTGGTATACCGAAAGAACTCCATGCAATAAAGTATTCCTACAGTATGGCCTTTCGTTATTTTGTAATGTTCCTATTAATACATATCATTTTATCTTTCAAACCTTTCAAATGTCTTTAGTTAGACTGTGAAACTATCTATCTAACTTCAAAGTTCCAGCTAAGTCCTGCTACGTTCGACTTCTTTACTTTTTTAAATACTTCGTACAATGTTTTTATCCGAAGCTAGTTTGGAAGTACTTGCTAAGTCATAAGACCGCTCATGTACTACTTTGTCATCTTTAGCCATACCTTTATTATATTTATTATCAATTTTAATTTTAATTGTCACTCATTATTACTATGTTATGTACTGTCAGCTTCTAGTAAGCAGCAGAAGAAATAAAATCAAATTAGCAGTTATGGTAGCCAGGGTAAACTAAACTAGTTACTGGTCGTAGATTTTGCCATGAGGGATGTATTAAATATATAAATGCTCTTTTTATTCATTTCTCTATAATAATTGTGATTAAAAAGAGAATAAAACATTACAAAAGGATGTCAAATCATGAGAAAATATCTCTACAAGACAACTTTGAAGGAGATACTTAATAGATAGTCTAGTTAGAAGTGCCACGAAAATGATTAATTAAATGCCTATATATGTAAATTTAAATATGAAACTAAAATACAAATAAAACAAAGTAATAATATGCTTCAATATAATAGGGCGTGGCGTGATAGAGATAAAATAGTTAATGTTGTACAGTGGAAGAGAAGAACGTTGATAAATACTTGCTAAAGCAAACCTACATACTTGCCTAGAGAATATTATATTCATGTTATTTTTGTATTCAATCTGCACTATTGTTATTTGAAAACAAATTGAAACTACTTATATACACTTAAATTATTATATTATGATCAAAATAGATTGGTATAAATTTCTATCGTATGCCTTTTTGACAAAATATACAGTCCATAATATAAGTAATATATCTATATATTTCTTAATATGGATGTTTTATTAAAGTCGCTTTAACTTTCTACGCAAGTCATTTGTATAATTTTTCTAACATATATCTACAACATTATACTTAATTTATGGACTTTTTTATTTAAAAATTACAAGGTTAGATTAACGTTACTATGGTACTAATGAAGAGATCCTTAATTATTTTACTTTCAAATTATTGAAGCTAGTGCTCAACACAGTTTGTTTGACTTTCTACTGAAGAATTAATTATTCAGATAGAAGTCTAATACTTTATAGGTACTCGTGAGACCTAGGTACTTGTAACAATATTACTACTGTCGAGTTATGTAACTAGATTACACGTATCTGTAATACATTATAACTTAGGTGAATGTTAAAAGATTAATTAATTGAACGTTGATATATTTTGTAAGCCAGAGTTAAAGAAGAATATGAAACTTATTTCATCTTTGGTGAATGATAATAAAACTTCATATTAGATAAGGATAAATAACACATAAATAGAAAATGTAGTTGCTCCTCCTTATAAAGACACAACAAAGATATTCCACAGAACAAGGAGGTTCTATGGAACCTCCTTGTTCTGTGGATGGATGGATGATGTGGATGGATGTGTGAATAAAATAACTTTTTTAGATGTAACTGAAAATTATCATCTCGCATGATAATAAGTGGTTACTGCATATATACATAAAAATAGCATCACATACATCCCGTCATCATGTCACGCCCGTTATACAACTCCTGCGACGTTATTCCTGAAAACTAAGATGTTTTCCTCCATACCCTGTAATTTGACTGTGTTATTTCGGCCCTTCAAATAAACCCACGCAGAGGACTTTTACAAAGTCTACGTGAATTATTACTTAGAGATTTATTCTCAAGTCTTCAAGCCTGAAAATTTTACAATTTCTATTAGAACAATTTCTATAAAAATACAACAACAATAAAAACAATTATTGATTAAGTAACTATGCTAATTCTTTTTCAATGTTCCGATATTTATATAATCTTTCAAGTAGTGAGAGACACGTAATAGAAGTCTACGTGCAAGTTTAATGAAAGGACCTTTGTATATACAAGTATTATAGGATATAAATCGAAATATTTGTTGAAAAGGTGAAGTCGAGCCGATGTTAAATTGCAGAAAATTGCCTTCCCTTCCTATTTCAGAGATAACGAGTTCGTCTCAAAGCGGTGCGCACGTGTGCGTTCCTTTAATGAATACGGTTACATTCAGTTTTTTGTTACAGAAAACTAGGTAAAGTACTCGCCTGTAATTGAATTATTGTATTGAGGGTAGATAGATAGATAGATACTTAATGCAGTATTACTATTTATATATTAAATTAATTACTCTATGTCTCTATTTTGTATACATTATATCTATTTGGGAAAATTCGGCAATGTTTTACTTCATACTTTATTACATGATACGACAGAGTAAATATACATGTCTACACTTGCTTTCATCTCCATGATGTCATAAGAAGTGCTTAAGGGAACAAAGATACTGATATAAGAGAAGGAAATCTATACTAAAATTGTAAAAAGAAACAGGATTTTGTTACGAGGATAGCATACTCCGGAATCAATACTACAATTTAAGAAATTGTTTATATATATATATATTGATAAAATATACAATCTTAGAAGTATAGAAGTGAAGCGAAAACTGGCTCGTAGTTCGAATTAAAACTCTACCGACCATATCCTATATTAACAAATTGCTAATATTCTCTCATACGACACCCGAACTGGTTATACAGATTTTCTTGGATGTAACAAGCTATAACAACAGGGTTATTATAGCTTGTTACAACTAAGGGAATTCAGGCCCGTCTTTCACCTATTAGAGGACTTGGGCACATTAGTATAATGTGGTCCCTATGACCATATTAATAAAGCACTATTTTGTTAAAATAGAAAAGTAATTTTTGAACATGACTCTTTAGAGCTGTATATGGGGATGCCCTACTTTCAAAATAAATCAGGCAAAAATAATTTTAAAAAGTCGTTATATGATAAGGGGTTTAAGTTCTTTCTAGACATTTATAAAAATTAACAAAACGAACAAATTGACCATAGTCGGTAAGCATTTGTTAAGCCTGATTTTCAGGCGAGAGTAGAGTAACTATCAGTTATCGTTTAGTAATGGAGTAGGGTACTAGACTAGACTACGGGGACCCAGTCTATAGCGGGATCCTGGGCACGTGCCCAGTGTACCCAATGAGGAAGAGGGGCCTGAGGGAATCTGCTAACCATAATCGACAGACAGGTATGAATATCACTATCGATATCACTATACCCATAATCTCTGGTACTCATCGGACTTTAAATCTCCTGGGGCTTATGATTTTATATAGCCATTGTGTGAGAGAGTGCACGTACACAAACTACTATCTTTGTTATCTCCCCTTCAATAGGTAAAAACCCTATAACAGAATCAGTATAGTGACTTGTGTAAGTAGAAATCAAAATTATATTGAATATTTTTAATTAAAATTCCTCACAGCAATAGATTTAAATTTCCTCAATGCAACAGAATTAAATTATATTAAAATATATATATATAATCTGTGAATAAACGTTCAATAATACGCAAAAAGGGCAAAAATAATATGTATACGTATGTAATAATAAAAAATCCTGATATAAAAATGTATTTCTGTTCAAACACCTAAAAAGTAATTTCAACATTTTAGAATAATTTAAAAGATCTTTTTGGTTTCATGCCGATTACAATGGATACATTTTTAGAAATAATTCATAATAAATATTAACTTGAGCGGGCCTCCATCCATTCATAATTTTTACACGGGTAGAATCAAATATTTAATATTGATCATTATCCTTACTGCCTTACTTTTATTTGATGTCTGCGTAGTACCTATTTTATCTTATTTCACCGATCCTTATCAGACGTAATATCTGCTTACTCTCTCACAGCTTATTCTCCTTTTAAGCATATCATCGACCGCGATATTTTTTGCACATTATCCTTCGAAGGATAATGAACATAATATTGATAATACAACAATGTTAGCAGACATTAAAGTGTTGTGGTCGACATAACATCGTTAATAGACAATGCGTACAACTACAGCTTGTATTAAAGTCCTAAGGAGATATAATATGTATAATATAATGAATTATTAAACCAGATATGATTAATGATATGCCCAAACTTGTATGTTTCTAAGAGTAGCATATACAATTTCCTTTGTACACCGGGGTCGGGGACTCGTTGAAGTCTAAATATATTTTTACTAACAGAAAGTATTTACCTGATATTTTAATTTTATGATAGGATAATATCCGGGTTACTTTCAGAGATATAATACTCAGGGCATCTTTGAATGTAGGTCATATTTTATTTTTTCCCATGCACAAGAACCGGGTCACACAGACAAAGCCGTGACAAACAACCAATAAATTATATGTTTACTACCGCAAGGAACTCTCATATAAAAAAATAATCCATCTCATACTCAGTTGCAGCAGTAAAAAACTAAACTTAGTAGATAATTCTGTCAGAATCATCTGAGTACAATGAAAAAAGGAGGGTAGGTAATGTTTTCAATAATTTTATCTATGGTAACTAAAAGTATACTGCGATAATTATCTATTTTTAAAATGGCATACATTAATATCTAGATACAAACTGAATTCCAATAAAATAATGTTTTTACTATTAAAAGTAAAGGAAAAACTAACGCTCTCGTTTTTTCTATATATCTTTCTTTTATTTAACATCAGTTTAATCATATGTCATGTACATATATTACCATTCATAACATTTACAAAGTAAATATTCGTACAAAAAAGGTTACTTCAATTATGCACAATTAGGTATAACAATAATTTTATTCGATGAGTCACGATACATGTGAAAAAATAAATTTATAAATAAAGTTAAATATCTGCGTCAAATCTAACAAATTTATACCTAAATAGTTATTGAAAACTATAATTTCTAAACATTTCAACAAGTCACCTGTGAGGTTTTCTTTCTTCTTCGTGTTCCTCTTTCAAAAAGGACGGTTGCAAACTGAATCTACGACGAAATTGGTGTCTACCCTTCATATTGCTGGCAGGCCAAACACTTAACACATACTATTATTTTTTATTTCACAATAGAGTTTCGGTGCGTACGCCGTAAGCTCGCAAATTGAGTCCGAAGTAGCGACGTGCACAGCACAAGGCGCTCCGTCAGCGAATGAGGACGCCAGGGTACACGCCCCCGACGCACGCTACGCAGCAGGGACTTTGCAAAAATGGAATGAGTTTGAAAACAGAACATACATATATTTTTATATATAATATTTTTTTTCAATTAGTTATGTATATATTTATTAGGGGCCAGTAATAATGACTGCAATGAAAAAGTTAAGGGTACTGTCCCTCAGTAGATTTTTGAATGAAATAGAGACGTTTAGAACTATATTTTTGAGATATATATAAACAACAGTTAAACAGGTTTTATTACTATAAATTTAGCCAACATTAAACCTGTCAGGTGCCAATAAATAAAATAATTTCTAAATATATTATTTGTAAGGGTAACTTTACTAATAGCGTCCATTTATTACATTTATTTAATTAATTAAGAGGGTTTTAACTTAATTAAAACATAGGTATGATATGTGCACTCAATAAACAGGCTACGGTTATTAAAGATTTTCTTAAAACGCTTCCAGACTATATTTGCATATTCAGCTACGCTTCCCGTCCCACCTACTCTGTGCAACCACTCGGGAAAACTTCGTAAAATTTGTTTCCAAATAAAAATACCTCACGTTTCATCGTAAATACTTATACTTACATGAATCAACAAAAATCGTATCAAGACAATATTATTGGAAGGAACTCAGATAGACGGTTCGCTGTATTATCATTTTGAAATAATTATGGAGCTCACTTGTATTTATTCAGGTTTTAGAACTAGATCAAATGCGAGTCAATGTTAAAATGAATATTAATAAGATTTAATGTAGAGCAGTTATTGATTCGGTTCCATTATAGTAATCTATAATTATACAAAACAATATTTTGATTGACTACGAACACACAACCTTTAGTGGAGAACGAAATTACTAAAAAAGATGTTTTGTAAAATAACACTTAAGTTGGATCAATAAAAGTGTGAATGATTTAAAAAAAAATTAAAAAGTCTTAAATTTTTAAATGTGAAGAAATGCTTAAATCTTCAATTTTATGACCCTTCATAAAAAGATAAATTTTTAAAAATATATTCATACCAAAAATTTGCCGGATTAGTACAATAGCACTTCCACAAATCTAATGACCTCCCATTTACTAAAATCCGCAGTTAAGCCGTTCGGGTTACACGTTGCGGTAAAGATCCAAACATACCTACATATATTTGCAACCAAAGACTATTACCCTCCTTTCTTACACCGTCAGGTAAGAGAGTCATGTTCTACACATAAATTTTACGACGTCAATTGTATTATTTACAGTTCATTTATTATTAAGAAAATATTTTTCTAGGCTACAAATTTAGGTCAACAGTTCAACACTGATACAGTTTACCAAAACAGGGCTGAATTTCGTAAACAGTAAATCTGTGTACCTACTTGAATAAAGAAAGTATATATAGAAGAGAAAAGTGTGTGAAATAAGGCAGAGTTGAAAATGCGGTCGCCGTGAGCCCGGGAATTGCAAATTAGGGAAAAATAACGCCGGGGACAGCGGCGAATAGGTGTGAAAAATAGCGCTCAACAAGTGAAAACCAATCTTTTTTGTGGAAGCAATTTTAGTAGTTCACATAGACATAAAACACAGTTTATTCATAAGTATATTTTTTTCTTGTAATGTTAACTAACTTCATTTTCACTATTCTAGTTAATTTTTAAATTAGACTTTATATGTTTTCTGGACTAATGTACAAAATTGTAAATTCGTATACTCAGAATTTAATACTGTAACCATAACTCTATACTTACAAGACACACGCTTGATTACATATACCTAAATATTCTTATGATTTTATACAGTGGAAAGTACAAGACTAAGTTCTAGTCTGACCTATAGTCATTATATTGCTACGCACAAATGATGCAGATATATGACTGAGGAATTAAAATTCTCCAAAAGTGAATAAAATAAGAATGTAGGAAAATATGTAAGACAATGCACTTGCTCTCTCTCACATTGAGGAAATAACTTTTATTATAGAAAGCATATACATTTATACAGCCTTGTTTAAATAATTAAGTACATGACTAATTTGCGCTGCGATAACAGAGTATTTGCAATTCAGAAAGAGATAAAAGAATCAGAACCACGTGGACTGACGTCCAGTTGAAGGAAATAAATCAGCTCTAATGGCACTGGTATCACAACGATTTCCTCTTTACGGCACTTTTGGCGTTGCCTAATCGCCCCCGCGCGACGCTAATACCTATCTTAAAAACTCTTAAACGTTCAACTTTATCACATTTTTTGGACTGCAAAAACGTTGGTAATTTAGAAACTTTTAGATTATCCCCGCGACCTTTAAAATATAACAATCTATTCAAACTCAAGGGTTAAGTCGACGGCAGATGTAGGCACAGGAAATATTATGCAGATGTATTTAAATAAAATTAAGTGCCTTTAATTCTAGTCTAATCTATACACACTACGTTTTCTAAACACATTCCTGTTTACTAATATAGCTATTTTATTGCTAAATTGTAATTAAATATTATATTAATTTTTTTTTACTGCATTCTTTGTTAATCGATCGGAAATTTGTTATGTCCTTGTTTTTAAATGTCATTTAATTTAAATGCTAATATAATTATAAAAATTAAAAAGTATTAGATACATATTGTTTACCGTATTTGATAGCGATAGCAAAATTATATCAAACAGCAAAGGGATTAAAAAAGTGTGATTCAACGAAAAATAACGTTACTAAACTGGTATAAAAGAGGCTTAAACTAGAACAAAAATTCCAAAGTACACGGGGAAAGCTGTTCTACAAACACGGGACCTACACTTAATTAAAATTAATGGTTCACGTACCTAAAGAGTCGATATTCTGTGTTTTGATTACCAATTCGCAACTTTATAGAATATCTAGTGTTAATTGAAAACTCAATTATGAAGTTAAATCCAGAAAGGTCATTCGAAACAAAGAAATTAAATTTGTGATTCAATTTGAACAGCAACATATTAAAGAGTCAACATTGATTTTAAATTATACTTCTCTATTTTAAGCTCATATCTAATATATGAAATGTTGTTTTTAATTTGTTACTTATACAATTTATTACAAATATCTATTTTTTTTTTAGTTATATTAATTAGGTTTAATAATGTATGTATACATGATTATTTATAAGGATGGTGTCAATCCATTTAAAGACGAAGAGAAAATAAAGAAAACAATTGATCAATCGTTTCTTGTAAAAGAATCATATTCATATAAAGTATTTAGAATCCAAAACAGTCTTATCCAACTATTTTTTGACGTATTTTCTATGCTTTCTGCTAATTTTAATATGGACAAGTTGTTTAATTAGATTTAATATTGTGAAATTATTATTTTACCTGTTTTCTTATATCGATAGAGTTAACTGCCATTTTTGTATTATACTATATGTGATTGAATTCGTTATTTTTTTATTAAAATGTAAAATCTTGTCATAAAATTTACAGGGCTATATAATCTATACATCACTCCTAATACGAATATGTTTACAAAACGCAATCGTTCTGGATGTCTGGATTGGAACGAAAGTGACTGCGAATCCCCTCTTGAATTCCATCGCCTGGTACGTGTACTCTATTCAGCGATAACGTGTTTTTGCTTTCTGATCTTACTAAATAGCCAACTATAGCTATATCCCTCGTATTTGTTCCCATGAAATCAATTGGAAAGTAGCCTATGTGTTAATGTAAGATTGTAACTCATCGATGTACTAATAATTAACCAAATCAGGCCAAAAACAAAGTGAAAGAGTAAAAAATATACTATCGTAGACGTATATTTTTTATACCCATACGTCCTCACTTCATTGTTTAGAATATTAGTAGAGGGGGGAAGGGGATTGTTAGTAATGTGGACTAATGATCCCATTGCTCGCAATGTACCATGTCAGGTCGACCTCCACGCGGTTCCCCCTGGAAACCATCGTGTTAAATTCCTGGTGAATTTGTCACGATGGGCTAACTGACCTGACCTCATGCTCCATCTTATCATCCGCCACTGGTGCCCCGCCAGCGTAAAACGTTAGCGCAGGCGGGTGAACCATTCCATTATCATCCACAAAAAAAATATTTGTAGGACAGCATTAAGTTTTAATAGTTACACATACACATTGACATTTTATTAACATAAATATCTAAATATATATAACTCAAAGGTGACCGACATAGTGATCTATCAACACACAGCCCAAACCACTGGACGGATCGGGCTGAAATTTGGCATGCATGTAGATTTTATGACGTAGGCATCCGCTAAGAAAGGATTTTGATAAATTCCACCCCTAAAGGGATAAATTAACGCGAGCAAAAGCTAGTATATATATATATATATATATATATATATATATATATTATTCTTACATGCGTAAGTTGACGGTATGTAAGATTAATTTGTAAATTAATAGCTAATTTTCCAATTACAACTTTTAGTAACAGGGCTTAATGCTTCATCTAAGTTGTTATACAGAGAATTTCGACACCCAATATTTGTCTTTCGCTGTGTAATTGAATATTGACAGGACAGACCTTTTGCGACGTGTCTGAGAGGATTTACCTAGAAATTTAAATTAACACAAACGTGGTTACCCTTTTCTCTAATTGCGCTGTATTCTGTTAATTGTTACTATTTTTTGGAACTGACTTTATTACTGAATGATTGTTTTTAACTAAAGGACCGTATTCTCTATATACAAATTAACAAAATTTATTTCCTATTTTTTTGACAATAGACATAAACATTTCCTTTTCCTGCCCGATCTAGAACCAACTTCATCTACTGACTTCCTGGATCACATAAATATCTATGCAATATTACACATTAATACATACCTACTAAAATATTTATTGTATAAAATTACTATCACAACGTCGTTTGCACAAAACTTCTTTCCAGATTATTTTCTTTACATATAATAAAATCGTGACGTGGCGAAAACTATCTGTTTATGTGTTAAGATTTCACGTTTAAACGGCTTATAGAA